TATTTAATGTAACATTTGATACTGTGATAAGACTATATATCCATAGTATTCTTTACATTTTATAATCCTTAAAGAGCCCAGTAAATACCAGATTCAATCGAGACTCTTACAATCTAGTTGAGACCCTTTCCTGATATTTCTTTCGTCATCTCGATATTCTTTTATCAGCTAGTCATATGTTTTGTTGTGACTTGAACGTCGGAAAATAATCAGGAGGACAACCTTTTTTCGTTCCGATAAACTCTTATCAGTATTGCGATTTCAGGTCTCATTAATCTTCCTAAAGAATTATAGGAACCAATCGTCAACTAACATTATTTTATCTGAAATCTACCCGAACAGTTAGTGCTAGAAGGAGGGGACGAAACAGAATCACAATGTATAGCAGCCCCTAGTGCTTCCCATGTTCTCGAGGCTGTACCACCGCCATCCATTGTCGCACTCCTTTGATGTAAGACCAAACAATGTCTTTATGAGAGACATACCACATCTACAACGCCAATGAGAGAGCTCGCATGGCAGACTCAACTTCATACTGCATAATCCTTAGGGAATCCAAATTTTACAGAAAATTAACTAATTGGATCAAGAAAGGATTGTCAGGATCCCAGGGAGGACGGGGTAGCTGCACTCGTTCCACTACCAATCAATAACAAAGGCAATTCCAAAGGCAACTTTACTAGCGTGGTTATGAATCAACTTACAATTATTGAGTTACAGGAGGCGAAGAGGTGAACTGCCGGAACAGGAGGACTTAAAGCTGAGGAAACAGGAAGGGCAGCTAAGAGAACTTGCTTCGCTAGGCACTTAAAACAAAACCAGAGCTGAAGCCATGAACGTACAGCGACGTCATTCTCTGCCACAGAGATGAGGAGAGGGATTTATTACTCAATGTCAGGTTGACCTGGATAAAAGTCAGAGTTCTTTCCAATTTGAGGAAGAGATTTCGATCTTAGAAGCAAACCAAGTTGGGATGGAGGAATTTAGCGATAATCTCTAGTTGGTAAACTTAAATATATGAGCAAACTGTGAAGTGACCAAAATATTAATCAACATAGTTTAGTAGACTTAATGTTCATCATGACTTTAGAGCATATGGGAATGAAAAAAATTCAAAAATAAGAAATCTAGGTTGAGTTTAACTATATTCACTGGAGATTCATCTACCTCGGTTGGGATAGTGAGCTTTTCGTGTCCATAACCAGAGTTATGAAAATGGTTATCTTTTTAGTGGTTGATCAACCAACACCATACAAAGCAATTCTTGGAGCCCCTGCTATATGCAATTAAAGAAGTTTTCTCAACGTATCACCAATACGTCAATATTCAGACTCCAGAAGAGTCAGTGAAGTTAAATTAAAGGCATATTAATCTCACCTCAGGATCAACACGTAGAATTGAATTATTCGCACAAAGTATGTATAAGTCAAATTGATTAACGAAACGTAGGTCAAAGTATAAGTATGTATAAGTCAAAATACCAATGTTTGGGTATGAAATTTAAATTTATTTATTTATCGTACATGTATGTATTCACACAGTTTACAAATACATGGGGGTAATGGGAACGTGTGCAACAGTGGTGGCATGAATTGGCCGTTTTCCTTAATATCAACATACGCTGCTCACAGCGTTATCATCATGGACAATATGTCAAATCATATTCACAAATTTTTACTGCAATTGTAAAAAAACAATCAAGAACAGAGGCATAATGTTACGTGCACCATGAGAACAAATCGCAATACCTTATATAAGAGAAACAATAGAAAATGAGAAAAACAACATAATGAATCTCAAAACAATAAGCATCACAAAGAAGAGAGATCAATGGAGAGAACAAGTGGGGTTTCTCCTTTTTCGACCACAAACGTTTTCAAAACAATCCCACCCGGAGTACAAACTTCGACCGCATAAGTACCATGATAGCCTCTGAATGTGAGCTCTGAATCATCATTGATAATCCCATAAGCATACGATAACCATTCTTGCTTCACCTCCAAAAATCCTTTCCCGGCTTCGTTTATTTGTCCTTCAGCCTCAACCAGATTCGCGTTCTCCCTACTCATAGATAGTTCCCAGAAACCCCATAACATTATTCCTGTTACGACAGAAAAAGTTTATACCTTTATCTAATATATTATTTTAAGGTTTTCTCAAAACCAAAGTTATGAGAGGATGCTATGTGTCATCTAATTTTTTGACTTTTGACTTTTTAATTTATTTATTAAAAAATAAAATTAAATGTCTTTTAATAA